TAGCAGGCGGGGCCTAATAAGTATATTGTATGCTAGTTATTAGTATATGTTTTTATGTTTACCGGGCGGGGCCCGATGACTGTATGGTATGCTATAGTCTTTGTGATTATTGCATGTATGGTAAGGTTATATGTTTATATGTTTATTGATGGGTTTTAGGTAAAACAAATAAACTAGAAAACAATTCCTAATTTCGCATGCAACCTACTTTGGCTCTATGTTTTAACTATTGAACATATAACCTTGAATTGCAAAACAAGAACCCTAAAGGAAGAGGCTATTTTCGAAAATAACAAATTAGGGTTTTTAGAATCACATACCTTTCAATTGTTATGGTAAACAGTTGGCAATCCCTTTGAATCTTGATCTTCTTGGAAGCCTAGCACCACAATTATCGTGCCTCTAATGGAATCACACCAAAGAGCTAGCAAGAAGGAAAATATAAAGAGAGAGAGAGAGAGAGAGAGAGAGAGAGAAAGCGAGCGAGAGGAAATGGTATGCAATTTCGGTCTAGGGTTTCTTCAGGAGATATGGTGGTCGAAATTTGGAGCTAAGAGGCTCCTTAAATAGTTGAGGTAGCTAGGGTTTAAGGGATAACCCTAATGTTCCTTTGCTTAAGGCCCAAGCTAATCCAGAAGCCTTATCCAAGTCCCTTAAGACGAAATCATTAGGGTTTTCCCTAAGAATTCTGTCCACCTTCTCCAAGGAGATTCTGGAATGTTCCTTCCAACTATTTAATAATTGTAAACTAGTCCATATACTTTATAATTAATACAATTAACCCCAAAATTAATTCCAATTAATTTATGGTTAACTATTAATTCAATATTATGATTTCTAGTTGATATATCATTTTCATAACATATTAATAAATCATTTATATTAATTTATTAATCTTATAATAAATTAATTTCTCTCCTTTCATAATTTCCTTGTCCAATTGCTAGGTTTGAGGGCAACCCAAAAGGACTGTGTTGTTATCAATTCAAGTACATACCAATTATAGTTATGGGCTTAGACACCTAATCCAACATTTATATGATTATGTGTGTATCGGGTGGGGCCCAATGTTAGGCGGGGCCTGGTGATTGACATATATGTAATCTGAGCGGGGCTCGATGTTGGGCGGGGCCCGAAGCTGAGTGGGACTCGATACCGGGTGTGGCCCGATGGAGGGAGGGGGCCCAGTATGTGATTTATGTACGTATGGTATGAGGTATCTTGGGGAACTCACTAAGCTTGGTGCTTACGGTTTTCAGTTTATGTTTCAGGTACTTCGGTTTTCAAAGGGAAGAGCTCGAGATGATTGCAGGGCACACACCACATGTTTCTATATTCTATGATTTACTCTGATTTGATGATGTTTTGTTAAATCTTGATTACTTTGGTTTCATGGAAATAATATGTATTAACGGTTTATTAAGTTTAAAAACAAAAAATTTATGGTATTATTTTTGGGACGTTTCATTATTGGTTGTGCTTATTTTGTGTATGCAATTGGCTGTGATCCATGATGCCGTCTCACCGCCCAACGTTTCCGCCATCGGCTGAGGGTGTAACACACTTGTACTAAATGCTTCTTCCATGATGTCCATTGTGCTCACAAACTGTAGTATATCTTCAGACATCGTAATGAGGAGCATTTGCATTCTACAACGCTAGTTTTCTATGCTCCTCCTCCGTAGAAGGCAGTAATGGGATTTTCAGTATTATCATTCGTTCTTTTGCACATTGATAATCATGAATCATTTCTAAGGCAATAATATCAACAAGATGACGTTGCTTGTCTTCAATACGTATTGTTTCATATTTTTTATGGCAACGCTTCTTCATCACTCGAGTCACTGGATGTCGGAGACTGTGATTAAAAATATTAAAAAAATGTATTAAAAAAAGTGTTCCAAAAGTAAAACCAACTTGCATAAACATATCCATAACAATAATTGTAAAATGACAACTAGCTTAAAACAACATATTTGTCTGAACTTGTTCTGATCTATCTTTCAGAGTTTTATTTGCTTTCAATTTAAGCTTTAATATCCTCTTTGATTTCCTTCTAAGTTCTATACGTGTTGTTGGTGGTTTATTGTTTGATTTTTTTCGAATTCAACATCTAGTTTTTTTATCTGAAAAAAATATATATCAAATAACATTTAAATATAGTACTATAAAAAATATGTACTCTTTTTAATAAACTTTTATCGGACATAATTCTGAAAGCTCTTGTAAATGAAAAATAATTTGTTCGTCCTTAAAACCTACTTTTTTAAGAGCATCCACAAAAATTATTCTTCAGACTAATACATGGTATTGGTTTAACGCAAATCAACTTCAAAAATAATTTAACAATATCATAAACAAAAATAAACAAATATGTTCATGTCATTTCGGAATGTAATTATCATTCCAGACTGTCATTTTAGAATTGATCATCATATTCCGGATTGTGTTCTTTCTGATTGGTATTACCATTCTAGAATCACTTGTAATTAGTAATGTAGACTTATTTCCTCTCTAAGGAGTGGTATTAACACATTTTAAGGTAGTTATATGGTTAAAACTAAAAAAAATAATAATAATAATAGTAATAATAATATGGACTTGTTCTTCGTATTCCAGACTTTTTCTACTCATTTTGTAATACAGAAAACTGTTTGTAAATTAAAATGCAAGTAAATTAAAGAGTAAAACTCACCTGCTTTGTTGAATCCATGGTAGATAGCCTTAAAATTCTATGTTCAAAATGTAGGAACAGGTTCCGAATGCCAGAAGTAACAAGTTCCGGAATGGTTATTCCGGTTTTATGGGTGCGGGACTGCGGGCCTCGTATATAGGGCATTCAGCTATAGTAATGGGTTTGGCACGTTTATATCTGCTCTAGAATGCCCATTTTGAAGATAGTAGTTAGTTTTCAAAAAAAATGGTTAGAATATTCGATTCCCTTTTATTTAAATGTTGTTTTGGTGTCAAAATTAAAACCGGGTTTTCTTATAAATAATAAAGTAATAGTAGATAATAATGATTGATTATCCGTGTATTCTTTTTTTTAAACGGCGAAAAGATTGTTATTATCAATACCACTAGCAAGTAGCTGGCTTTGTGTTTTCTCTTTAATTTATAGTCTTTGCCTTAAAAAAAATAGCTAGTAGTTAGAAAAAAGCTCTGATCTGATGAGCAATTACAATACATAACTAAGAGAGGGGAGAAATACACCACGAGTTGCAGTTAAGATGTGGAATATTTGTCCTGTTTTTGATCCACACAAAAGTGTTCTCTTAGTTAGTTTAGATTATTGAACACTTTATTATTCACTCCAAATAAACCAAGCTGTCATTGTCACGATAGCTTTAATTGGTTTAGATTGAAACACATTTCTTTGGCTTGCATTTCATACTTCAATGGCTTCTTTGACTTTAGATGGATTCAATGGGCCCAATTAATCCGTCCAAATATGCTCCCATATTACTTTAGAGAAAGCCAGGTCAGCCAGCAGGAGCCTTCCTAAAATCCTAATCACATCCACAGGAAGGAAGAAAGGACAAAGTGTGGAAAGTAGATTATCCGTATATGTTAATGGAATTCAGAGTGTAGTGATTTATTAATTACACCTTTTGAGAACCTGAATGGTTGGAAGTTATTTTAGTGTTTCATAATGACCAGACAAAGCTTTAGCAAATTTAGGAATGCAACCCCTAAAAATCTAAAAAACTTCTTTTTCCCCCTTTATTTACGTAATACAATCTCTTCACATCTCTCTCTCATATATTTTTATCATCTCAATTTTAAAATATATAGTAAAAAGTAAAAACTATGTATAACTTTTTAACTTTTTATCTTTTATTTTATCAATATTTTAAAAGTAGTGCAAATATTAACTATTAGTGGTATTTACTTTTTTTCACTTTATCATAAAAATAGAATAAGAGCATTATATATAACCTCATTTATTAGATGTTTATCGAAGAGAATCTATTACTAAAATTTCTTATTATAGTTATATATAGATATCTTTGTCTACTTTTTATAAGAACTTATATGTAGTATTCACATTTACAACTTATTAATTAGAGCAAGAAGACCAACGTTTTGAGTAGGTTGGAGTCATGTTGGAAAGAGTTTTTCTTTATGCTATTATTCAGATATCAATACTATATTTTCACTAATAATATTTTATATTTAAAGTATTTATAATTCTTTTAGAAACATACAAAAGATGTTAACGACCAACCTGACTTAACTAGACACAAACATAAATCCAATGGCGGAGCTAAGACAAAATATCATAAGTAACACACGTAAATTGTCGAGGTAGCACACCGAAACAATTGCATTACACCAAAAATACTCTCAAAAAATTTCAACTGCGTCTGAAAATTTTAGGGGTATTACGGTCTATCCTGGACACCTAAATAGATCCTCCCCTACATAAATCATATGTTTCAAAAAAAAAAAAAAAAAAAAAACCTTATTTAACTGGTTACTAAACCTGCTTAACCAGTTTGTTTTCTACACCAAGTTAGTTTTATAAATGCAAATAAAATATAAAAGAAAAGATAAAAAATAGATAATTAAATATCAATATTCAGTTAGAATAAAAGATTTATTTTATTAAATCCTATGCAATTAAAGGACAATGAATACAGTGATATACAATAACTTGCTGACTTTTGTGATAAAACTAAAAGCAAAATAAATATTATTAATATTCAATGTCGAAGGTATTACTGATAAAATTTAATGACAATATTTGTTAGAATATATGTAGTAATATGTTAAAACACTCAAAGTACAAGGCATAGATTGAAAAGTATAATCTAAATGTAAGGATGAAATTGGAAGTTTCATAGGTGTTAGCACACAATGATTAAGTACTATATATGGTCGCAGGCAGCAGGCAGCAGCCAGCGCCCAGCGGTTATATATAGATTCGCGCTATAAATTTTTGTGTTGAAGAAAGCGGTCTCCTCACAAACCACAACCCGAGAGTTTCACTTCCAAAAATGTCAGAAGAGAGAATGCATTCAGCCATGGATAATCCAGTCTACGAAGAAGCTATAGTCGTGGAGGTAGAACCACAACCACCCATAGAAGCCAGCCACGTCACCTTCAGTTTTGTGTTAACGTTTTTGTTCAAATGCATATCACACATCGTCAATCTACTACAACCTCTCGCTCACCTCTGGATCAACTATTACTGGCGAACATTTGGGGATGAAGCTGTAATCATGCCCCCAACACCACTTAGCTTTATCATCACTAGTTTATATATTTTTGCAGAAATGAAGTCGCAGGGGTCTGAATTTCCTTTCAAAACTCATCCTCGATCCATGAATATCGCCATTACCAGTCTACTCTTTTATGGTTTGGCTTCAGCAGCCCAACATTTCATTTCTACCTGCACACGTCTTGGTCCGGCTTCAGTTTATGCCATGGTTGCTCACTCGGGAAGGATTGGTTGTTTGTGCATTTTGGTAGCATCTGTAGCTTCATTGTTATATCTTTGATATTTTCATTTTGCTCTTAATTATTTAAGTTAGTTGATATACATGTGTGTGGCATGGTCATGGAGTTGGAGTATATATTTTGCCAATGATGCCTTTAATAATCTGTTGTTCCAAGTAAAATAGATTTAGTTTGCTTTTTTATCAATGTACCATTCCATCCCATATAGGTTTTTTATATGAACCTTGAGCTCCTTATAAGCACATGGTTTGGTTGTTTCGAGTTATTTAAACCAATCTACTATTTTGGTTAAGACAGTATGTATGATCGGTTACCTTTGATTTAATTTCTAGATGATGGTTGTGGGTTTGTGTCATGTGGGCAATAGGAGATATTGAGTAATGTATTTGATTATAAAACGTGAGCCCTTTATAAAATCTTTGGTAAAGAGCATGCATGGGCGGACCCATATTTTTTTTTTTAAATGGGGGCAAAAAAAAGTTTGGCAATGGACTCGGTCCAACAACTCTATTAGACTAGAATATTTGATATAGACTCGGTCCAAATTTGTTAACAATTTATACTGATTCCAGCCTTTAGCATTTAAGCATGAAACCAACAAATCAAAGTTAAATGATCCTTCAAAACAAATCAAAGTTAAAGACTAAAATAAGATGCAATAACTAAATTCACAGTGCTTTATTAAAGAAGAACCAATTTTTATTAGAAAACATGATACTACAATTGGTTTGACAGGAAAAGAGAATGTAATGGAAAAAAAATAAGCAAATGTGAACATGAAAATCATCCCACATTACCAAGTGTGGGAGGCTGGGAGCTGGCTTGGTTTACAAAGAAGTTAACACATGTCATGTTCTTTAAGGATATATTTGGTAAAACTAGCTCTTAACAGAAATTGTTGCTACTATTTGTTGTGAAATATTTGTAAAATTACATAAAAAATATAGATTTTGGATTAAAAGCTTTTTTGTTTAAAATAAAAACTTTAAGCTTATATTTCTCAAACGAATTTTTTTTCGTTGATTCCAGTTTTCCTAAAATCTCTCAAAAAATCGTTGTCAAACATACCCTATAAAAGAAAAAGTATTTTATGATTCTTAGTGAGTGTTTGATTGGTGGGATTCTCTTGGAAAGATTTGGAATTTATCAAAGAATTCTAAATGGATTCAGAATATAAAGGAATTAAACTCCTATATATAGCGTGTTTGGTTGATGGCATGTTGCCTGTGCGTTTGTATTAGAAAATTATTGTAGAATGTTGGGTTTTCGGAATGAGTATGAAAAGCAACCAGATTTTCCATTCTAAATGCATCCCGAGATCATTAAGACTACCATCATTACTTTCCTTATATATGCCTTGGTGAGAACACTTCTATGATAACCATCAACATTTGATCAATATGTGGTCACATTTCAGAGAAATTGATATTGTGATTTGTGCACATTCACAAATGCATAGCAATGTGCATATATAATATATTGTGTCTTTATTAAGAATATTGACTACTTTCGAAAGTATATATATACCTAAAAATTATTTCATTGGTTTATAAACTGATTAAAGTTATTGGCCAATTGCATGTTGTTCGAGATATTGTACAAGTTGATAATTAATAAAGTAGTTGTGATTAGTGCGAGTCATGTGGTTTTCTTCTTCCATTCTTCAGTTGCTTTACTCTTTTGATTGGTTTGTCTACTTAATTGATTTATAATCCTACACCCTAATCAGTGCCTGCAAACCTCAGCGCATTACAATCATTGAAACTGCTGTGTTTTTTTCATCAAAACTAGGCCGGGCTTTTGGTTTCTAGAGATTCAGAATTACATCTGAACTGTGATAGAACCATAAATTATTGGCTGATATCCACTGGAATACATGAATATTTTCCTGTTGTTAGCTTGCTATATATATGTTATAGATGCTTGATCTTTTATCCTTAAATAATTTAGTAGTCCTTGTTTTGTACTTTGATAGCATTACAGTCAATTTAACTAATTGATCTGCACATTGGATCAGCTATATAACTAGATGTTTGCTTATTCCCTCCTTCCTTTGCAGATCTTCTTGCTTCTTCTTGTTGGAAGGTGGTGGTGTATTTACACCGGGTTGTTACGATTTCAATGCCCATGATGAAAAGCGTCCCATGTGTGTTTATATCATACATCCACAACGAACCCTTATACCATTAAAACTTCTAGAAAATTTAGGTAGACTAAATTTTAAGCAAGATACACTAATTGCCGATGTTTTGTATATATTCCTTCATGATGCTAACTTGGTAATGCAAGATATCCTACTCATGATCTCGCAATGCCATGTTTGAAAAAATGAAAGATATGTGTTATCATTCTCCAGTCATTGATATGGTAAAACCTGCATCACCATTCGCTCCTCATTCCCCTTCCAATAATTTCTCAAGCTCCCTAATGTGGCCTGTCTAATCTAGAAAGGATTTTCTCGAGCATTGTTTCCCATGTAAACCTGTGCACCAATTCTAACCCAAAGAAACCAAACTTCTAAGTGCATGGTTTCCAAGTGTAATTTTTACTCGATGCTTACCTCATAATAAGAAAAAAAACACTTGGTAGACTTCCAAAGCATACAAGTTAATTTCCACTACTTATATTCTCTGGAATGGCTCCATACTTCCTTGAAGGGTGAATCATCCCAGGGACCTAAATTAACCTTTTAAGAAATGAAAGGACAACTCTAGATTGTTAATACTATTTTAAGAAATGAAAGAACAGCTTTCAATTTGTCCAAGGGACACCACAAACAAGATTAACAAGGTTGAAACTGATCCACGAACAAGATTTAGTAATATTTTCTTATAAGAAACGGAAGGACGCCTCTCAGTTTTTTCCAAGGGACGCTATAAAGGGGCATTAACAAGGTATAAAAAACTGATTGAAGAACAAGATTTAGTAATATTCTATTTTAAGAAATGGAAGGACACCTCTTAATTTTTCCAAGAGACACCGAAAAGAGACATTAAAAAAAAAAAAAAAAAAAGTTGATCCAAGAAGTAGATTTAACTATTTAAGTGATTTATAAACCTCACTGGGTGTGAGCGTACAATTGTACAAGTGAAAGTAAAAAGTTTTTTTTCAATGAAAAACTACAATAAAGTCCCTACATATTGGTTTCATAATCGATTTAGTCCTTATATATTTTTTTTATTCAATTAAGTCTCAAATACCGGTAATCGTATTCAACTTAACCCTTTGACCCGGTCAACAGGTCCTCCAACTTTCAAAAATTACATTTTTGGCCCGGATTTCAAAATTTATTACAAATTTGGTCCAAATTTTACACTTTTGGCCCATATTTTAAATTTTGTTACAAATTTGGTCCAAACTTTACCCTTTTTGCCCAAATTTTAGAATTTTACTATGAATTTATCCTAACTTTAGTTTTTTTTTTTACAACTTTTTTTCTCAAAGAATTGTTTTTAATATGTTTTTTCTTTATAAAATCATATTTATACAAAAAAATGTGATTTCACATAAAAATCTTATATTTTCTATATAAAAACTTTTTTAAAAATGTTTTTTGTATATGAAATATCTAGTTATAAAAATAGGTATTTATAAGTATATAAATATATACAAATCCGTTTTTATAAAAAAAATGTATACAACAACGTATTTTACAAAAAAATGTATACAAACACCAATTTTATCTATATTTTTTTTTATAAAATCGTGTTTGTTTACAATTTTTTTTATAAAAACGTGTTTGAATAGTTTTTTATATAATACGTGTTTGTATACATTTTATCAAATGTATACAAACACGATTTTATAAAATATATACAAACACGTATTATATAAAAAATTATTCAAACACGTTTTTATAAAATATATACAAACACGATTTTATAAAATGTATACAAATACATATTATATAAAAAATTATTCAAACACGTTTTTATAAAAAATATATATAAACAAACACGATTTTATAAAAAAAAAATATAGATACACACCTATTTGTGTGCATATATATATATATATATATATATATATATATATATATATATATATATATATATATATATATAGGTGATAGGTGTTTGTATACATTTTTTTTGTAAAATACGTTTTTGCATACATTTTTTTTATAAAAACGGATTTGTATATATTTATATACTTAATAAATACATATTTTTATAACTAGATATTTCATATAAAGAAAACTTTTAAAAAAAGTTTTTATATAGAAAATATAAGATTTTTATGTGAAAATTCGTTTTTTTTTTTTTTTTGTATAAATATGATTTTATAAAGAAAAAACATATTAGAAACAATTTTTTTGAGAAAAAAAGTTGTAAAAAAACTAAAGTTAGGATGAATTCATAACAAAATTCTAAAATTTGGGCAAAAAGGGTAAAGTTTAGACCAAATTTGTAACAAAATCGAAAATCAGGTCCAAAAGTGTAAATTTTGGACCAAGTATGTAATAAATTTTGAAATCTGGGCCAAAAATGTAATTTTTGAAAGTTGGATGACCTGTTGACCGGGTCAAAGGGTTAAATTGAATACGATTACCGGTATTTGGGAATTAATTGAATAAAAACAATATATAAGGACTAAATTGATTATGAGGTCAATATGTAGGGACTTTATTGCAGTTTTCCCTTTTCCAATTGTACAAGTGAAGTAAAAAGCTTTTTACCCAATCCGATGTGGGATCACTTGAAAAGTGTTCTTCTGCATTTCTTCATTTCTTCCACATTGACAGTTAAGTGAAATGGAATTGAAATGAAAATTCAAAGAAAGAGAATTTAGCCATGTTCGGTATAAAAGTAATTCACAAAGAAATATACTCGAGAATCAATCTTATTGTTTAGGTATAATAAGCAAAATAATCAAAATTATTTTTTGATAAAATTACACGGTTGTTCCTTGTTGTTTGTCAAAACAAGTTGATTCAATACAACTATCAAAACGTCTTGCGCTTGATCCCTATGGTTTCATTTTCTTTCGAGGTCCTTCATTTAGGTGTTAAATTTGACTTTTGAGTTGTTACCTTTTAAAA